TATTGTGATGTCCACAGGTGGGCAAGTTGTCGATCAACTTCCCTAGCTATAAAAATCACAAAACTGGACGGATTGGGTGCCTTTTCCATAGTTATTGTCAGTCGCTGCATGCTGTGCGGTAAAATGCCTCGGACCCTCTATCCGTGTGCCTTTTTGAGGCGGTCACACGGCCTCTCGATACAGGCATACCCACATTCACGGCTCTTATGACCTTTTTTTAATGAAGGAATCGAATCCACGAATCCAGCTTTGGGATATCTACGGCTAGGCAAGTTGGGCCTAGCTGTTTTAAACGTCACAAAGCTGGATTTATGGGATCGATTCCTCTGTTCAGAAAAGGATTTGAGAAATTGTGAGCGGTATTTTTTTTGTATGAGAAGGAACTGTGCTGTAGGAAGATAGCCAATGGTGACAAGGACGCCGCATTATACAATGGAGCGACTGAGAGCGTCACACCGATACCGAGGGGGTTGGCACCCAATGGGTCCAGTTTTGTGATAACTATAGCTAGGCAAGTTGAACGACAATTTGCCTAGCTGAAGGAAACTATAAACTGCCGTGGAAACACCGGATACTATATAGCGTGGTGAGCATTATCAAAGCCACACGAGGTCTGCCTATTGTACCGACCTATCTCTGGCAATTAAATGAATGTTCCCTTATCACCTTGTGGAAAGTCATAATTTACGCCAGGGTAAATGTAGATAACCAGCTCACGTACGCGATAGCCGTTGATTCATGAATTCAAATAGCATTGTTGTGGTCTTGTTAACTTAAATGTCACAATTTAAAACGACGGGTTTCTTCCTTATTTTCTCCACCAACCCGTATCCAATACTCAATGGCCTGATCATATCTAATTTACCTCTATGCCTTCTAATTGTACGCTTTCTTTTCCCTACTGTAATATGAAACTCCTCTAGCCTAGCAATAGATCTATACATGAATGTCTGCTGAACCTACCTCTCCTCCCCGAATCCCTATTCAAAACAGTCATTGGTTTGGCCATAGGCCAATTCCCCGATTCGCTAATGAGTGGAGCCCAACCCGCTCTGAATGCAAGCAGCGACGGTATAATGTTTATGTTTATGCTCAAGCCGTACTTTGAGATGGTTGCCCAGATTACCATACGCTACATGATGCCGGCCGCACTCCTGACGGTGGCTGTCCTGACACTGTTTGGGTACACGCACTGGCCCAGATGGTTTGTCGTCTGCAATCCAGGGATCATTCAAGGTGCTATGTATGTGGCTGGGTTATATACGGGACCTGAGTATGTCGCGGTTCGCGTGTACCTGATTGTGGTGGCGTATAATCTGAGCATGGCGCTGTTCTACGGCTTATCCGCGGCTGTGGTGATATGTGGGTTCGACACACTCTCAGTCACACAGGGAGTCAAACCTGTTGTCCGTTCCCAAAAGAAAGTATCGTAGCCTAGTGGACTGTGTGTCGAGGCCCGTACTTAGTATCGTGCAAATACATCACGTGAACTTGTGTCGGCTGTGACCGGCATTCGTGTCAAGCTGGACCTTCGAGTGGTGAAGAATCTCATTGATGAGTGTTGCCTATAGTCGATGGGGCATTCGGGCGTACTTGCCATACGGTTGTCGTACACTTAGCTGGTTTTAATTGTTGACCGAACGATGCAGATAACTGATTGTAGGTTCAGATACACATCGCCACCTATATAACTATGAAGTAGGAACAAGGGACAGTGTAATGCACTTGCCATGAATATCATTGCGGAAATATTGCATAGTATCACCATATTCCCCATCTTGAGCACTCAGGGGTTGTACATTGTATGATGGACCGCTCTATTCAATCAAGAGGCTAGAGGATAAACACATCGCTTCTTTGTTTCCGTATTGTTGAGACAAGGTTGTATTTTTCCATCTTTTTTTTTCACTTCCGTATAACCATCCAGTCCCCGCCATCGCACACTACCAATCCTGGGTTGATTCTGTGCTGAAAAAACACCCCCTCTCAGCCTAACTTCTACTCACTGTGGCCAAATCGTGTATCTAAGAGTTTATGATTCATTCATGCATTCATTGCTTTAAGCGTGTATGAGGGCACTTCACAAATGCATCATACCTGCCTGCCGGAGGAGTACCCTCAATTAACTGATGATAGTTGAAGTCGTGTTCAAGCTTGCCTGTAGGTCCTCCCATCTGGACTTATCGTTTAAACGCGTGACAACAAGTGCACGCCGTGGTATGGTATCCGTCTACCTCCCGTTCGCGCCACCTATGCCCCTCGTTGTGTATTCTACGGTAGTCTCGAAACTTGAATCATTTCGTTTCATCTCAATTTTTAAATAGTGGATTACAATTTATCTCAATTGCCAATCCGTGGATTACAACCCTTTATAGTGACATACAGCTTTATTGAATTGTTTATTTATTAATGAATGTGACCCACATTCATGCGTGGCCCCAGGTCAGTCGTTCCACATGATCGACTTTCCGTTTGGTGGATCTGATAAACCCCAAGAACTGCATGTCACGCACAGCGGCGGTGAATCTGGCCCTAACATGCAAATGAATATATGTTAATTATGATGGTGACTTATGAAAGGAATAGGCTACGAGAAAGGCAACAGAAAGCAAACACGCCTTGTAGGATGATAGCATAAACCGTACGAACTGCATGCATGCACACACAGAGAAGGTGAACCTAACCTCAGTACAGAAAGTAGATATATATAATTGTTATGATGGTGAAGAGCTACAGGTATAGGCTACGGAAAGGACAACAGTAACCAGACACGCCTTGCAGATGGGGTTAGGCGGATTGGGTTGATAAACCAGGAACTACATGTCACGCACAGCGGAGGTGATTTGGCCCTGATACAGGAATAGCTATATCTCCTATGATGAGTGTGTGGATTATTGTTCTATCAACAACGACTGGATTACGAGGAAGATTACCGATAGCAATCATACCAGGGCGGTGGGTCTAATTAACTCCATAGACTGCATACCACACCGGGAATAACGTAATGGGAGTGTGTGTATTTAGATTTTGATATCTACGTTTAGGTTGTGTGGAAGAGAACAGCAAGCAAGCACGTATTGGATACATATGTAGTTTGATCCTCCTTGCTCGTATATAGGATAAAGGCGGCCCAAACGATTTGTCAATCGGCACGAACAAAATGTATCCATCTATAATAACATCGGTACTATCCCAAGCCCAAGGCTTCCATAGTACCTGTCGAGACATAGGCTACACACAACCCGCATTCGTTCAAAACACGTGTACTCCATGCAGTGCACGCACAATACAAGAACCACATTACGTACCTACCAACTATATTCAGAACACGAAACATCAAAACCGTCAAACTGAAGGATATCAAATACATTGACATGCGAGGCAAGATTCAAAATCAATATCAAAAGCATTGCAAGCCAAACGATGCACTACATACTGCAAGGCACGACGCAGCTCCATCTGCCTCTTTTCCATAGCCGCCGCTTTGACTTGGGCCAGACTCCGCTTCCTCTTCTTGGGTGTCTTAGGATTGAGCGGTATATCATCTCCTTCGTCTACTATCATATCCAGATCGGGCTCTATGACGCACGCAAAGGCCTCCATCCAGTCCGTGAGGTTGATGTACCGGCCACACTCGAGGTGCAGCCTGTAGGCGATCACCACATCCGGTAAACTGTTGGGAGATGTACAGTGCACTGTATGAGATTATATTGTACATGCGTGCAGGATGGTGCTATAAGGGAGCATAAACATGGTAGAGGTATGCTTTGGAAGCATGCTCCAGTATATATACGTGGGGGACATTTTATCAGCCATATATGAGGGGCAGTTTGTAGTAGTTACCGCATTCGGTAGACTGTTGTGAGAACGTACAGTGTAATGTATGCGATTTCACAGGACACGCATGTACGATGGGCCGCTATGAGAGCGATTAGATGAAATATGAGTACTTTGCTAGAGAGTGTCAGATTCGTATGCATGCGTTAAGGAGATACAGGTTCCACATCATATATTACCGTAACCCGAGTTCAACAGCTGTCGAGTTCACAGGTACGTTACTCGTTCAAACAGGGACTATAGCTGTTAATATACATATGTAAAACGCAAACACAAACACACATTCAATA